TCCAGGCACGACGTCGCCATTGACGAACGCGATCGGCTTCGCTAACCCGCAATGCCGGCGAAGGCTGGGAAAGGTACCCGCACACTAGCGGGAAACATGCCCTGACGGCGTCCCACCCGTCGGCATGATCGGGCGGCAATCAGCGGCACGCTGTCCACATTGCCGGCGCTGTGCGACCACGGCTGGGCTAGACGATGGTAGAGTTACTGTATATGGTACCTTTAGGTAGCCCAGTTGCGCCACTGTTTTCCGGGCGCCGCTCGCTTCGCCTACAGGACTTCAGAGCCCCTATTCGCCGAGCGAGATCACGTGGTCACAAGTGGTTCAAATGCACTGCGGAGAAGTCAACGCTACGATGATTCCGGGCAGATCAAGCGTGGTTGACATCAGCTGTTGTTTCACATTAGCTGTCGTGAGCCGCGATTGTAATATGAGCGCAATAGAGAGCCGTGCGTAATATGGGCGTCGCATGGGCGCTATCGATCACTGTTCGGCTCGATTCAGTTGAAGGCGATACAAAAACACCTGGCTCCCTCACACAGTTAACGAATGAGTCCAGCATGACAAAAAAAAATCATCCCTAACTGTTCGATTGCCTTCAAAAGTGCAAAAATAATTTCATATTTGTAAATGGGAAAAACAGCGTAAATGGCGAAGCTAGTGTAACCATCTATAAATATGTATCTCACTGGTTCAACGAGCTACGCACTTTGTTTTATTATTACATACCAAGAACGTAACCATCAAATGAAGGCTTCTAGGTGTGACCGGAGCAACCGAGTTTCACTCATACTTAAAAAAATGAAGAAAAGCGAAAAAACAAATGAATCAACGCTAGTACCATAATCCCTCAATATTGAGAGACTATGTAGCACTTTGAAGCGCTAGCGTTGCTCCTACGCGGGTGGTGAGTGGCTTTCCCGCAAGACATTTGAACCCAAGATGGCGCATCTTGGCGCAATCTGCTACCTAAAGGTAGCATATATATAACTCTAGAAGATGGAGCGCGAGCTCGCGCAGCACGCATACCCGTGGCTTCTTCTCGCCTACAGATGGAGAAAGGTGGCGCGGGTGAAGAGATGATGCCGACGTGAGGAGTGGGCCAGAACATGCGAGTGGTGGAGAGGGTGAAGTGAGTGAGATGACACGCAGTGAGCGGCGACAGGCTAGGGAAAAAGTGACGTCACTCGCAGGCACTGGGCGGGAAGGCGTGGCCTACTTGGCACCACCCCGGTGTTGAGGGACAGGGTTACACAGGCTAATCAAAGAGCTGCTTCACATCTAGTAAGTGTATAGGGCAGACTCCCCCCCACCTTAGATGACTAGGCGAAGCAACTGCCCCCCTCCTCCGTGCGCCCCCCTGACACTACCTATAAATCTCGTGGTAAGTATAGCACCACACACGTTTTGGCAAGCGCCGGCACCATGAAGAAGCTTAATGTTATTTCAGTATCGCGCAGAGTTGGAGTAATTAGCGAGTTGAAAACAATTCGAGTTAGGCGACATTCACTGCAGCCACGTCTGGTTAAGCACCATGCACGTCATTGTACTCTTCGTTACAAACCACTGCGATGGTCGTGTCCTACCCCACAGTCAGTGATAGCTTCGGCAATACTCTGATATTACAATGCCTTCTTTTTCTCAAATTGAGCGTGTAGTTTTATATGCGAAGAAGCTCTTTGACCAGCCTGTATGACGCTGTCCCTCAATCCGTACCATGCTCCCGTGGCCACAGGTGTTGGGGCGGTGCCAAGTAGGTCACGCCTTCTCTCGCACTGCGCGCATTTTGACGTCACTCTCTCCCTAGCCTGTCACCACTCGCCGCGTGTCATCTCTCTCGCTTCACCCTCTCCACTGCTCGCAACGTTCGAGCGCACATCGAGCGAACAGTCTTTATCCGCGATAAAACTTACACAAAACCCAACTCGCCTTCCATGTCTTTGTGTTTCAAAGAAACGTTTATTCGAGTAAAGGCCACACCAAGTTTCGCTTCAAACCGTTCTTCCAGCACCCGCGTCGACGCCCCGGGTCAACGCCGCGCACCACTGCTGCTTAGCATCCCATCATGGTTCCCTTCGGGGAGATGGTTCATACTTTTCATTTTGAATATCTGGGGTTTTACGCCCATGACCAGGGCATGATTTAGGGACGTTACACTGGAGGGCTCCGCAAATTTTGACCATGTGCTATTTATCGTGTGCTGTAATCGCACAGTGCATGGGTCTCTAGCATTTCGCCTTTACCAAAATGCGGCCTCTGCGACCGGAATCAAACCTACGACCTTCGAATCAGCAGCCGAGCACCGTGACCTCTTATCGACCGAGGTGGACTAGCTTTTATTCTTGTTAGTCTAGTATATGTGTATCAATGACGCAATTTCACAATAAAGGGGCAGTCGCCATGGTAGTTGCTATTTCAGCTCTCATTAGAAATGTGAGTTTTCCTCCGACGGCAACAGCTGGCGACAGTGAATTTGACCACGTATGTGACGTGCTTATCATTTGGGACTGGCAGTTGATGCATCAGCCGATGTTCCAACACTTCGCAGACAGACTGAGTTTCGGTAGTTGTTGCGGAGTCGTATCACCTGACGAGAAATAGTCATGTTGATTACAAGGAGTCTAAGTGTATTATACAACGCTGAACATAGATAGAGAGCAAACATATGATAAGTTTCTGAAATTTACGAGCAATGTTTTTAGTTGTTATTCACTCACTGACCCAATCGGAGTCTTCTCTTCTGGTGCTTTCGACGCACATAATAAGCCCACTGACATAACTTCTGCACCAACATTCACCTGTGTCACACTATGGCGCAAACGACGTGCACACAAAATTGATCCAGATTTATATTGCGCACAGGTCCTTATCATAAATCCTCATTGTACACGGATCGCTTGTTACCTATCGATGCGCATTCAGGAAAAGAAAAGAGAATAGGCAGATTCCACTTACTTTAGGACTTGATGTTTTGTGAAACATGCGAATGGAAAGTGGCTGTGTTGTAATTTTTATTGAACACAAAAATTACGAAACGATGCCAAAGATATCCACAAATATTGTGCGCTCAGACATATGTTCAACAGTCGCATATGTTTTATATGACCGGTTGTTTACAGTTGCGTAACGATGCCAATAACAACATGGGTATTACAAGCGCCAAGCCGATACGTAGCGCTATTGCTTTTGATGATAGTAAGTCTGGCTAGAATTGAGTAGACCAACGTCAGTCGATAGCGCTCAAGTATACCGTTAAGGCTAACCTGACGTGACACCTGCATTATGTTATATAGTTAGATAGCAAGCACTGTAACATGCAATTGACGTTTAACCAACATTACGTTTGCATAGGGTCTTTTTCGAAAGCGGTTTCGATACCCGTGGTGGCTTTTTGACAGAATACTTGATTACCACGCAGAATACGCCTTTTCCACGAAGCCGCGGGGCATGCGCCTTTGCCTAGCGTAAAAGTCGCGAAACGGCTCCTGGTCTCGAAGGCCCTCGTTCAAGCAATGTCTGTTCTCGCGGCCCCTACCAAACCCTACCGAAACGCTCGAGGACAGCACAGGAAAATGAAAAAGGCGGATACTGGGGTTCCTGCTCGAATCCTGACATTTATTTTTTGCATTCATCCGGTCAACACTGCCAATGTCAGCTTTTTCTTAACGCTCTCGCTTTAAAATTACCCGTGTCCGGGTAACTAACACGGGTAAGATATAAACTAGGTCAATCACCTGTGGCATACCCCGCCGGAATTATAGGGCCATGTGTCACACATGTCTGGCGGGAAGAGTTTGAAGGCGTATGTGACGGGATTGCCACAGCATGCCAGAGAGTCATGTTCGCCAAACCATCTTACGCTCTTCCATACTAATTTTGGTTTACCTCAAGTTAAGGAGGTGATCACGATATCACCCAGACGTAGGCGGCCAGAGATAGATAGATAGATAGATAGATAGATAGATAGATAGATAGATAGATAGATAGATAGATAGATAGATAGATAGATAGATAGATAGACGAAAAGTGCCGCGGTGCGCAATGAAATGCGTCGCATTAAAAAATAAAACATTCGATTTCGTGCGAACTTCAGGGTCGTTTACGAAATAGTTTGAGTGAAATCACTTGAAAGGACAGTGGTCTGGCTGGTAAACAAGACTGCCTTGTGAACCGAACCATAGAGGTCGTGTCTGAGGTCACCTACTTGGGCACTGTGAATATGCCCCGACTGACACCATGGTTATGATTTTTCACCGCCTGCGTCCATGCTGTGCCGGCCGCATCTCCTTCAATGTTTTTCTGCCTTAATACCATCAGTGCGAACGATGACCAAGCTCCACTGCTCCTTTTCCTCGTACTCAATAAAGAAAAGGGACATGGCATTTTAGCTTTTTTTATAAAGACTGCAAGTATAAAATAAACGTTAAAATCTACAGATGTTAACATTGTGTGGCGGAGGACACACCCTACAATTTCTACTCGAAGACTTTCACATCCTCTGGGTGCACCATACTGTCATTATATATACACTTAACTTGTCTACCACTTCACCGTAGCTGTGGCATTGCACGTACGCGTCCGCTTCAGCTACGAGATGTGCGGGGTTCGATCCCCAGTGCTTGCCGGCCACCTATCCGGTAGCTAAACGGGGTACAGGCGAGCTTCGAGGGGCTGTGACGCGTCGCCTCAGTGGTGAAGCTTACTCTGCCTGGAGGACTCCCAACCCGTTGCACGGGGACCCGGTTGTCCACCATTTCACATTTTGTGGTGGAGAGCTAGAAAAAATCGCTTGGTATATTCACACTGCACCCCCTTCCTGCAGGCCTTTGTTAAAAAGTAGCTCATTCAGTTCTTACGAGGAGCTAAGATGCCAAAAAGACAACAAAAAAAAGAAAGCTCCGCCAATTTCACTGTTGAAGTGCATCTGCTACATATAGAATGCATTTATACCTTGCATATCCTCAAAGTTGATTCACCAGTCCTGAAGGAGATGATACTGATTACGCGAACTCAGAGAACTCGTAAGTGGTGTGAGAAACGCACAAATGCAAGTAAATGTGGAAACTTACACTTGCTTCGAGCAGCGGTGGCTGGTACGAAGTAGGCCGGTACGAGAGCCGTTTGCGCACGTCGCTGTGGATGTCGCCCAGGTACAGCTCGGCTGCAGGCGCATCGGATTGGCGCCGGTTCGGTAGAGGACCTTGGTGCACGATGCGGATCTGCTCGTGGCGGGAAACAGTCAGAACAAGTGAGAATACGCTATCGCAATATCTATTCTACGATAGCATTAACTTGCGCAAGAGTGGCTTCATAATTAACGCCGCACACCTTTCTACATTCTATGGAGAGAAATGAAGAGTCTAATGAAAATTTCACTGAATACTGCAGTACGGGCTCATTGTAGTACGGCAGATAAAAACAGTGAAAGATCGAATGATACGCACCATGTTGCATCACAGGCACAAAACGCGACGACGCAGGCATGTCACAATGCACAGCATACATGCGCAAAGCATTTTGTGGAGACAATTGTTTTGTTGGACAGCCAAAAGCAAGAATCGAAAACCTTCTCGTCAAACGACTTAAATTGAAGCCGAAGGAAAAGGTCTATCGGCTAAATTGCATGAACAGAGCAGCCAGAAACGTACAAGTACATCAGCTATGTCGCAGACTTCGAGGACGCTTGTCGGTATTCACAGGTCATGTCTTACTGTTTCCTGCAAATTCGTGCCAGTGCCTCGCCATTTTGTACGTTATTGCGCGTGGTGCTTGACAACCCCGTGCTCGCTGTTTATGAACTCTAAGACCACACGTCACCGTGCTATATTGGGACATTTTTAGAGACTTGATCGAAGTGTGGATGGACGAAGAGCATCATGCATGCTTCCATGTTTTCAGTAGACGCTCCTACATATTGCGTATTAGAGAATTCAGTCAAGAACGCACGTGGGCTCCCATTCTGTTCCTATGTAATCAATATCCATTTCTTGTTTATCGTACATGAGAAGCTGAAAGAGCAATGCGTGTTTCCGCGAACGCCCCGACAAATCAGAAATAACACCTGGGAGAAAAATTACGAGAGCGAGACTCCTGTGCATATATTGGATCGGCAAGTAGGCATTCCAGCTCTAATTTGTGCCAATCTCAGATTTTCCATTGATAACCACAATGTAAGCAAAGCAAAAGAATAAAGTTCCCAGAAAAAAGCTTTTTAGTAGTGTTACGTCTTCCCTAAGAAAACGAGCAAACCAGTGTCATGAATGGTTTGCAACGAATGACCACAAATGAATAATTAATTTGCTCTATCTTGGCTGCTATGGCAAAAATTGCGATCGCATGTGTTTAAACGTAGTAGAAGTGGTCGGGTGTTTTGAAGATTGAAGGTCGCGCTACCTTATGCTGCACGTAGGGCTACATAGCTAAGCGCCAGAACGTATAATCTCGCTCCTTCTGACACGTAATTCCAATGGCGACGCGTCTCCAACAAGCTTAAGAGTGGTTGAACCGTGGTTGATCATTACTAGAATTTTTCACCGCACTGAATATGCCTGTATTGATGAGATAAAAAAATGACCCCCTTCTGCACTCTCTATTTATTACGTCTGTTGCTGCACGCTCACGATCAAAATCGTATTGATGGTGAGGCCAGAGAATGGGGCATGGCCATGTTACCTGCACACTACCAGTTTTACGTACAAGAGTTTTTTTTTTCTCTTAATTCAGACTTTACTCAATTACGAGCTAAAATGCGCACGTTGTAGGTAACGTATGCGAAATGAGAAGGAACAGCGTCTTATTTGGGGCTACATAGAATATTCCCTCACACTTGCTATTCGTCTTAGTATATTTATGACTGCATGACTTGGGAATGTTACTAATTGGCGTATGCCATTCCTAAACAATAGCATACGCACGCGTTCACAAAGGTTTGTTTTTCACTTAGAGCGATTTCTCATAGCATTGATTGTTCAAGTGCCAGAAACACCTGTTACGAGTGGCTGACAACGAGAGGAAGACATTTCCGACAGTTACTCACTTCTGGCAGAACGAATTTTTCCAGGAAAACATCTTTCGTGACAAATATATTTTCAATTACGGGCATTCTCGAACGTTAATCGCACAGATCTTTTTTCTAATCTGGGCGACATACCCCCAAAGCATGAGTGGTTTAAATTGCCATTTAATATAAGCCAGCCAAGCTGATCACTTGGCAGAAACGCGACTTTAGTTGATAACCTGGAAGTATATACAATTTATAATTTACCGCTGAAACAAAAACTTGGCAAACAATAGTAAGCCTTCTGGTGGAACCGGTAGTATGTAAGCGAAACTATTCTAAGGGATTTAACTAAGCAAGCTTTGTGGCAGGCTCCCACCCTTCAGAGTGGTGCAATTTGTAAATTGAATCGAACCATTGGCCTCGTTATCTGCGTCAGAATCGCACAGTCATGTTAGTTGGACGTGTGAATATTTAAATAACGGTTTAACAGAAAGAAGCATGCATTAGTGCATAGAAACAGATAAGCGAATGAAAGTTCTGAGCTAGAACTTATTGCGGAATCCCCAGTTTTTGCAATAATTTATTCATCTCCAGGACTGCGTTGTGATTAGCGATACATTTGGCTAGTGATTATTCCTTGCGAGTGTTTTTATTTATCATATCCAGGACTGCGTTGTGTTTAGCGATGCATTTAGCTAGTGATTAATCCTTGCGATTGTTTGTATTTATGCGTTTTACAACTAAAAAAAATTCACACATGAAAAAAAACAAAAAGTTCAAGCGATGGAAAATCGTTCAACAATGAGTATCGCTGGAGCCAGAGTTTGAACAAGAGGACTTGTCTACATCATAGTAGGCCTGATGTCTGGGCCTGAGGTCAGGGCAAAGACACGGAATGCCTCTTATTTAAAAGTTGGCTCCAGCGACATCGCTTATTCAATAATTTTTCGTAACGCAAACGGTTTTTGTATTGAATGTGTCTGTAAGTCTGAAGGAACTTGTAAGGAACATATAATGAAAAAAGTTGCACAGTGTCCAAGCTGAAGATTAACTTCTGATCAATTGGCGGTGTAGGACGCACCAGTTGTAGCTCGTTGAGGGTAAACTGCAGGCCCCCTGTGCAAACAAAATCTTCGACAAGCGGCTTGTCTGCAATTCGACCTTCCACGAAGCTGACAAGGCGATACTTTAGGTACGTCTCCCAGGGCCGCTTGATTTCTCCAGGGCACGACCTGTCGAGACGAGAAACACCGCAGTAAGAAATCCTCTGTCTGCTACCATCGCTTGCTATGTACGTATATAAATGACAATTTTGCTGTACTGCCTCAAAACAGGTTATCTGCGCCTTAAAGAAGCATTAAAATTCATTTCAAGAACTATGGAGATGTTTTTTTATTTAAATTTTTTCATTTGTTTATTCTTTTATGGTGTGGCGAGTTATGTACATGGCTATATACTTCTATACATGAATAGACACTACGATACTAGGCGAAACATTACTTACTAATTAGCATTGATAAGTCGAATAACAACATAGCCCCTTACTTCTCATTTACCTTCCCCCCTCTCTCTCTCCAGATATGTGAACAAAAAAGGAAGCAGTATGAGTATGCTATAGGGCACGGAAAGACGAACGCGCTAAATTTCTATAAAAAGCGAACAATCATTACGTGCGCACTCTTCAGCAATGCCAACTTTCTTTCTGAAATGACTGCATCGACACCCGTTAAAAGTGCGGGTTCCCTCGCGTGACATCCGACACAAACGCACCGAGTCTGGAGCTGCGCCCTAATACGCTGGCGAGGCGGCGTTTAAACGAGATGATATGCGGCGCGCTGTAGCGCCGGAAACAAAACTGAATCAACAGAGCCTGCAAGGAGAACGCATGGTGCGGTTCGTCATTGCTGAAAGCGAGTTCAGGCATGACGTTGACTCGACTACCATGTACACGCACTTAGCTAAACTACTGGAGCTAAATCAGACTCCTTGGTGTAGGCATACTAACCAATGCAAAATTAACAGCAACAATAATAACAACAAAAAGCTGTAGTTACAATAGTAAGATAAGGACTGCTTTCTGCAACTGTTTCCGGCACATATCTTCAGCAAAAAAAAAAAAACATCACTGGACAAACGAGATTATTGGGCACCTTTGAGGAGATTCTTACCCGGTAGTTGGGCCGCTGCAGTTTTGTAATATTTGTTGACTTTCAGCTGTTGTTCTTGTGCATCATAAATACTTACCTTACACTGAGATGGTCTTTCATGTAATGGCAGTATTCTCAAACAGGGCTGCCACTTGCTAGAATGATAATCATATTGCAAACATTAGATACCAATATGCCGCTTGAGCATCTCTGTAACGCACAAATTTGTGTGATAGAGGCGCTTTTACCGCGTAGAAGTTAGTCATAACCTAATCTAGAAAGATACCTGGCAAACAAAATGGAAGTTTCTATTTATTTGCAAGCCCTGCAATTTTACTTGTTGCAAATTCACTGAGTAAAATTAGAAAACACAGAGTTGTGTTTTTGCAGTGCCCCCACGAGAAGCACAGCTATTCGTAAACACGTTTACTCTTATTTTTGTATGTCTCTGTGACTGTTCGCAGAAACTCGGCATATTGATGCAAAATGAAGATACACGCATAAAATACCTTGTTTATTAATGTTCAGCCAAGATAAACCATACTTGACAAGTGGGGCTGTTGCTTCAGTTTATATACAATAACTGCAGTGAAAATACTACAGTTTGCTCTAACCAAGTGTTTGTTTGAGGCGTTCCGATGCAAGTTAGACCATTCTTGCACTGATACTTGTTTGGGAAGTGCGGAGGCCTCCATATACTTGCGAAAGAAATCCGTGCTGAGGCAACTGCCATGACAAAACTGCAGCTGCAGTGCTAGTCCAGTTGCGTGTGCAACTCTTCGCTCTACACCCGCACGCCCTGATGTCTACGAGCGGACGATAAGCGATGGGTGCGCACAAGTTCAGCGTCATGAAAGCTGTTTGCGTACCTGTTGACTGCCCTACTGAGCCGCTCGGCCACTTCGGCAGTGTAGGCTATCACGTTGAGGTGGGACAGTGAAGCCTCGGCCTCGGTAGCCCCGGGCACCACCCAGGACAAGCTGGAAAGCTCAAGCCTGCCCCAGCCGTCTAGCGCATACGCCGGAACCGTGCACGAGCTGTCCAGGTAGAAGAACTGTACCATATGGAACTTGGAGTCATCGAAGAAGTGGTACTTCCGAAGTACGAACTCTGGCCCCGACCGCACTTCGCACCTGCGCAAAGGAAGTTCAGAGGTACACAGAGAGTGGTCAGAATATGACGCGTCGTATTTTCAATATCACTTTAATCACTCAAAGTTTTGTGACTAAAGACACTAAAATGAACTGACATACTACTTTCTTAGGTTTATATATTAATCTATTGAAATCACTTTAATAAATGGGAGTGCATTCACAGAAAAAAAAAATGAAGTCGCAGTTTTGCCCAAATGATTTGGGTGCACGTTAAAGAACCCCAGGTGGTCGAAATTTCCGGAGCCCTCCACTACGGCGTCTCTCATAATCATATAGTGGTTTTGGGACGTTAAACCCCACATATCAATCAATCAGTTTTGCCCAAAGTGAAACACTGAGCGATATAGGTGTATAAATTACATGTTAATATGACTGAAAACTTAGTAATGAAGTATACAAGCACGCGTGCACAGGCAGACATGGCCCAATCTCTCTCTATACCCGCAAGCACTCAATTATGCCTCAAGCAGAGCAGGCACAGATGAGAAAAGGCCTCGCTAAGGTAGTCACGTGATACACCCGCGTCATCAGCCGGCATCGTCGTCTACGTGTACAGAGAAACGATCTGAGTACGGTTGTCCATTGACGAGAGCTTTTCTAGGGCTGAACGGGGATGAAAACCTTGCAGCCAGAGTCCTCGGATGCGTATGCACAAATGACCGCAACCTATTTCCTCGTGCAGAACAGTCAGACAGCTAGACTACTTGGAATCTCTCTCTCTCTCTCCCTTTCATCTTCTCTCAGGGGTACTCCTATGTAGAGGCACAGACCAACAAAAAAAAAAAAGAAAGCCTTCAAAAGCTGGTTTGTAGGCCAATGTAACTGTGAAGTGCATAGTTTCAACGTTGATTGGCGTACAGCATAGGGTAGATAGATGAAAATAAAATAAACGGCGTCCACGTATTTTAGTGCAGAAAAGATGAAAGTGTGTCGTGATGGTTAGGAGGGGGAGGAAAGGGAAGCGAACAAGTGAAGGCAGTCTGAAGCGGTACAATTAGCGTGCCGGTTGATCCGAATTTCCATGCTCAAGCAGGCGGTTGTCATTAGTACTTCAGAACTGCGGTCGTGGTAGTTCAGAGATTAATGTAATTCAGTATTAATAACTAGAACCAGGCTATTGAAATGTCGTCCGGAAAGGGTCCTGTTTTCCAGTTATGTCGGAGTTAAAAGTTCAGAGCTTGCTGTAATCTTCCGGCTATATGCGTTCGGCACGCGCACTCGTCCTGATTAAACAGAGGCTCCGCAAACTTTATCGCTCTAATATTACAGAGAGGGAATCGATCAGAAGAAACTAAATGCCGTCATTAGGCTTGGTAATCCCAGCTAATCAAGAGATGCGCCCTTTTAAAAATCGGCTGAGTGTAAACTCTAAAACTCTAATATGGCCTTGATTTGAGCAGCAAGCACCAATCAAAAGTCTTATTTGCGGAGCTATAGAATAAGCTGCCATAACGATCAGCATATTTCGCAGGAATGTAGATTCGAGTGAAGGCGTAGAGCGTTTGAAAGTTGAATCGTATCAGATCATTTTCAAGTGCTCTTCCTTTACTAATGTTTCGCTGACCTTGAAGATAAAGCAGAAAGAACTGTATACGTAATGGCTCGTTTTTGCGTGTTCTGACACAATACTAATATATATGTATATATATATATATATATATATATATATATATGACGTATGAAGCGATGGTTAGGAGAAGTAGAGGAGGAAGAAGTGGAGAACAGAATAAACATGGCGTATGAGCAGGCCACGTCACCCATTCATCATAGCGTCACACAAGTCGACAGGATGAAGACCTCCCAGCCACTTCATCAATGTCTCATCTTCGACGCAGTTCTACACAAGACGCCTTGACCATACATCGACTACGGAATCATCTCCTGGCCGCACACAGCGACCAGCACCATGACAGAATCATCGACCGACCTTCCCATCCCCAAGTACACCGGAGCAGCGGACGATGGACCCGTACAAAACTGGTTCGACCTGTTCGAGTTCCACGCTACCGCTGCATCTTGGTCGGAACGGGAAATGGTTACGAACTTCAGCGACTACGTCACCGGTGAGGCATTTAAATTTTACCTCACCCACATATTCGACAACGACGAGTCTTGGCAAAAGATAAAAGAAGAAATGATCATCTGGTTTCAAGACTATAAGGAAGATTCGATTAGAACACACACTCTCAGTGCATTCGAACTCAGTCATCGCAGTCATAAGCAGCCTTCAAGCATTCGAGCACACAGCATGAATTTACCATTCCCGTCAGGTGAAGTTAGCCACATGCTCACGGAAACACCACGCAGTCGTTTTCCCAACCTTCCACCTGGCTCCTCACCCGAGCAAATATCGCTAGTGCTCAACTCTCCGCTGCATAAAAGAATGCAATCCACTGTTGATGACCCAGATGAATTCAATACTTCGTGGCACATGCGTACTTTGCAAACTGACTTGGTATTCAGCTCAGCAGTTCCACAAAGACAGAAGCATTCACAATCAGCATCTTGTGAAGAAAAGTATTTTGCAGAAGCGTCTAGTGTTCATCAATCACAAGATCGACGCGACGGCAATCCAGCATACAACCTCACTGCCAACACTGAAAACAAAAGCGCAGGTGCGACTTCTGATGACACAAGTGCTACTCAGGCAACCACCAACAATGAGCGGTTTATAAATACAGAAGATTCAAGTGCACGAAACCTCCCACATTGTCTTGCGCCAGAGACAGCTGCATTGGTTGGCGTTGTAGAAGCCTGCGGAGGACTTGCTAAGAATGCTGGCACACCACGATCAATGTCACACCACACGCAAGTCGACGAAACCAAGAAACTACAACGTCAACGTATACTTCAACATTGTCAGCGACAAAAGAAAACTTCATCTAAACCACTCTTAAGGCTCAAAGAACATTGCGAAAAGGCCCATCGTTTTGGATACATTCTCTACCAGACATTGAAAATGCGCCTTCGATTAAAACATCTGCGACATCGCTATAGAAAAATCTCCAAAAGCCACAAAAGCCACAAAAGCACCCTTTGTACCCGGCGGGAACACAGCCAGCGTCCAATCAACCTCGATCAACGCTCACGCAAGCTGCTTGTACGGCCTGTGTATCACCCACGACGAGGAATTCGATGCCTAAAATATTGGAACTGTCGATTCTGCAAGATGTTCGAACCTCGTTCGTTCTTCACAAGAATTCCAGCTGTGATTACCCTTATCTCCACGTCCAAAGCATTTTTGTGTTATCCAGGACGCAACCACCAACCTCGCCCACCCGAACTCCCGCGTTAACTGGACTGCTGCACATTCCCCTAAAGTCTTTGAAAGTTTACGGAACCCCCTGGAGCATAGAACCAATTGTGAATTTTTGACATTTGTAACTTTTTAACCTCTACTTGTTAACTTTTTCTTGTTCGTAATCCATGCCTTCTTTCGGGGGGAGGGGGAATCGTGTGACGTATGATGCGATGGTTAGGAGAAGTAGAGGAGGAAGAAGTGGAGAACAGAATAAACATGGCGTATGAGCAGGCCACGTCACCCATTCATCATAGCGTCACACATATATATATATATATATATATATATATATATATATATATATATATATATATATATATATATATATATATATATATATATATATATATATATATATATATATATATATATATATATATATATGAGAGAGAGAGCCATGAGCTCCACAAACAAAACCCGGTTTATTGCGCCGCCACGGCCATACTTGAGCTTTCTTCAGGCAGACAGCATTGACCTATGCCGTTCGTTCTCCCCATCCGTTTCGTATAGCATTTAGGCGCGCCTTCTTCACATTGGACTTAAAGAAGGGCACTGGATCAAATAAAAAAAAAGCAGCAGCAAATGCGAGCTGCGAACGTTGAGCTGCACCGCCCAGCGTGCTCCTCAAAGTCTTCCCACGCCGCCTCCCAACAAGACGACACGGTGCCGCTCGAGAGGCCCGACTCTTCGAATCGAAATGCACTCGCGCAGCCCGCGCGCCTCTCGGTATTCGCGGAGCGAGCGAAACGGTTCTATGGACTCGCCTAAGGTGCTTACGGCCAAATGCTTTCCGGCACCGAGACGCAGTTAGCTTAGCTTTGTTTGCTCGGCGCACCCAGCTCGCCGCATCCCTCGTACTACCGCCGGGGACCCGGAAAACTTTTGTTTCGCACTTGTCACGATGCAAATCGCTCTCCGGCCGCTCAGCGCGGGGCTGGTTCGAGTGGGCGAAACAGAAAAGTGAAGAAAGCGCTCACCGATTTGATTCGCGCGATGCCAGCTCTTGAAGCCTTTCTATCTCGGTCTACACTCGGCTGCTTTATCTCCCCTTGTTTATCGGCTCAAACAGATGAGCCGTGAAAACGTGCCAAGTTGAGCGCTTTTCTGTGCGAGGTAAGTCTTCTAGTCTGAAAAAAAGGAAAGCGCTAATCATGTCGTTAAGGATGTGCGCTTAAAAGCTTTCGCCAGCATTTCTTTTTTTTTTCGCTGACTGAACAGTATAGAACGACAGAGTCCCGCGTCTTGAAAGTTCTAATTATTCAGACAATCAAAATTCATGCCATGTGTGCTTGTTTTCAGACACTCCATTTGGTATAAATTTTAAACTCCCTCGTTGTGCCAAAGCCGAAGGAGAGAAGATAACAAAACCGAAATTCGAAAAAGTTCAAATCTTGGTAAGCGATCGGCGATCATAACGTATGTCAGGCCTGGAAACTTCACTAAATGGTGATAAGTATCTGTCAGGGCAAAATATGACAAATGGTGCAACATTTCAGAAGGCCATGATTTTCATGCCGATTATTAACGCTGCGAAAAAATCTTGATAGGTGCAAAGAATAAAAACCATAGGTTCAATGCGGCATCTAACCAAGGCATTCTACGTCGAACTCGGGTGCTATATCTCATATACCTACGCGATTGCTTGAAATTGATTAGGAAAAAAAATACAGGCGTCCTT